TTTCCGAAAAACTCTCCTCACAAATATAGCTCAGATCAATGACAAGACCCATAAAAATAACCGGCCTGAAATATTTCGTGATCATGTAGCAACTGAAGGTTTCTTCACATCGCACACTATCGCTCTAATTGAAGTATGCGCAGCACAATTGAATGATTTAGAAGTGAAAGAGTTAGATTAGTAGGACGGCATTCCTTACACCAAGTAGAAAGTATAAAAATATATGTACCATTGAATATATTTATATGTACTACAGAAGGGGGTGTGGTGGTTAAGGATCATGTGTAGATGTATGCATGTTGGTAGGATGTTAAGTGTCTAGTTTTTATTACACACACACATGCACGTATCCTAACAAATATATGCATGTATGTGTATACGTTTGTATGTGTGTTTAATGGAAGAATCATGAGTTTTCGTTATGAAGAACTAAGTTATATTTAATGTTGGATAGATACGATTATTAAGGTGAGTAGTTGTAGTAGTAGTAGTAGATTAGATACAAAAACAAAGATTTATGTTATTTTAAAGTGGACCGTTCCTCTTAATGCGTCGCAACGAACAATAATAGGCCATAACTGCTCGGACACTCTTCCACTTTTGATTTTGATTTGGATTAGTACCATTTGTGTTGGCCGCTGCCAAATTCTCATTGTCATTGTTACTACTCCTTAGACTATCGGCCTGTCGATCGGAAATGTTCTGCTGCTGGTGCTGGTAATTGAGCGAGTTACTGGTTGCAGAATTTGCAATACTATTCAGAATTTCCGATGATGGGCTATTCAGAAGCAGCGTTACATGTCTCCGATTGGTATAATCGACCGATGAATGATCCGATAGAGTGAGACGATCCCTTTCCGTATAGCTCTTAATGGCAGCTTGGCGCGTTGCAACACGGCTAATGTTATTTCCCATACTCTGAGAAAATGTTGTCGACGAAGAGGAAGGAGATCTTAAGAAATGGTAAACATTTAAACGTTGCATAAGTGACTATTAATCTAGGAACATTAGTGGTAGTATGTCTGTCTGTAAGTACATATTAGGAGGTAATTAGTAACATTAATGATTCCCAATTTCAATGTCTAACTGGAGGTCTTTTTATTGATTGGCATTGGTAGCAATAAAAGAAAACAATTAAATGCAAAGAAGGCATATGAACGAGAAGAAAAGTGTACAACTATAAAACTAAATGAAAATTGAGACAATTAAACTGTTCAATTACATTTTCACTGAGAGGAGACTCATTCAAAGATGGCGGTTGAGTAGATGTTTGAAGAACCAAACAGTTTCTAACAAGTTAGCTATCACGTTGATAGGGTCATGGATGGGCTGGACAAGATTAATTTGATAGAGATTCTACAAACCCACGATTTTGTGGTGCCAGACCTGCGATGCTCACAATTAAATTGCACTGGATAACAATATGATAAAACAAATTCGAATTCGACCTGAAAATTGACTCAGCCATTCGATGGTGTATATTTTCCTTATTAAAATTATTGTTGAATTTATTATTAAACAAGTTAAAAAAGCAGCTAAGATCGGCCGGGCCGAACTTTTTTTACCATCCTCAATTCGGAGTTGAAAAATTTAAAAAAAAAATCCGTCGAAAAATGCCGCTTAAATGAAAACTTTATATAGGGGCTATACGAAGACGTGGTGCTGGAGAACTCTTCGTGTATAATTTCAGACAATTCCATTTAAAAAATTGGCAAAAATCATCAAAATACCGATATCGGGAGGTACAGTTATACGGGGATATACGATATCGTGGACCCATATAGAACATTCTTTTGAGGGGGTAAAGTGTAGCTGCCTATCTTTATTCGTTTTGAATCTAGTGTGATTACAACAGACGGATATACGGGCTAAATCGTCACAGAATTTTACGCTGATCAAGATTTATTTTGATGAATTACAAACGGAATGATGAACTTAATATACCCTCCATGCTATGTATGGTGGAGGGTATAAAAACAAATTATAAATATTATTTATAATTGACAAGTGACGTGTCGGATGTTGGATTGTAGCACGTGGTTAGCTCTTCGTCTAATGCTGATGAAGTTCAACGGAAAATATAAAGGGAAAGGGATACTTCCATTTCCACCTTACTTCTACCTTGTTTGCTTTGTTATTTTTGGATAGACAACGTTCAAGTACGAGTATTCAATGTAAGTGTAGCAGCAGTTCTTTAGGTGATGATACATAAGCAGCTTGACATCGTGGCATGGCATGGCTTATTAATTTCAAATTACAAATCTCTTTTTGATATGACATATGAAAGATGAGCCATGATGCCAAGCTGCTTATGTGTCATCATAGCATCCTAACTGCTCATTTTAACATGGGCATGTCATGGGAAATCAGTACTTTCCAAATTAAGATCAATAAACAAGTTCATGAAGCAGTCTTTATATTTCTAGAATACTATTTTATTTATACGATGGAGAGGTTGAACTGGTCTTCTGATCGGTATGAAGTGGCACACACGGCTGCATAAGACCGCTATTTAACGTTTCTACCATCCAAAGGCATAGTATATGCCCAAAAAAGATGAATTGATGCACATAATAACCTGGATTATATAGGCTTTAACCTATTGTATCTGTAAGGCGCAGTATACCGATTTCAATGATATTGTTGACATAAGTTATATACACTACAAGGTGATATAAAAAAACTGCAACAATGTCAAACGCCATAATTTTAACATTTTTTTAAATGTCGGAAATAGCATCAAATTTTAGAATAAGACTAGATTTGTTCGAATTGATCACCTTTGGCACGAATTATGGACTTACGGCCAATGAAACCGTCACACGCTGCCCGAATGTTGCTCTGCGGTATTTTAGCCGAAAGCAGAAAAGCTACCTCAGTGTTTTTAAAATCTCTGTCAAATTTTGAATGCGCAATATTAGTCTGCTTATTTGTAAGTAGCGGGTTGTGATACCCACCCTGCCACCAATAACACCCACGACACCTTATTGTATACTGCTAACATGCTCTTGTATTCATTTATTCATTAGAAGGGCGGAAAAACACAAGCTTAGGATTATGATTAAACTTCGGAAAGATTAAGGGATGAATATATTCTGTTGTGAAAGCCATTTAGTCGTGGAACGAGCGAAGCAAAAGTATCAGTGAGAGAGTTCTTCAGAAAAGTTACTGTTCTTTGTGGACTAATTTTAGACTTCAAAAGCATGATTTAAGAACTGTGCTAAATAAAGCTGCAAAAAATTGTAAATTACATAAAAACAAGGCCTTCACAAGCTCAGAAGTTTTGTAAAGAAATGGGTAGTCTACATACATATCTTCCTATCCATACCGAGATACGTTAGTTTTCCAGGGGATAGGCACTGACACGATTAGTGGAGTACCAATATTCTTCGAAGGAAACCCGAATATATTTGCCGATATTTTTCCAAATTAAACGAACTTAACTTGCATCTGAAGGGTTCAAACGAATACGACGTTTTTGCAGTTTACGACAAAATTCGAGCGCTCATGAATGTGCTACTCATGTGTGTTAAGAACGGTAAATATAATTGTTTTGAAACACTTGAGACCCTTTTGGTACAAGAAACAAAGTGCAGCCAAAGATAAACATACTTTCAGCAATTACTGCGCAATTATCATTGTTAAGAGCTCATTCACTTATCGAAAGATACATCACATTAGGAGCTTCATGAACCCAATGCATAGGGTAAGTGTGCCTAAGTTCAGCATGTCCTAGTAGTCGGCACTTTTTATTTTTAAGCCCAAATAAATGAAACTATGTATTTTGTTTGCTTCAAATATATTGTCAGCTATCTTTACAGCTGTACAATTTCGGTAAGAAAAGATGATTTATTCTAATAAAAATTAAATTTTTGTCTGTGAAGGTCCTCAACAATCCATATTCTTAAGAAAAGTACAATAAAGACGTCGAATCAGTTTAACTAAACAAAAATATTATATTTTAATGAATTAATTTGTTATTATTATTCACTATTCTTACAAAAAAAATTGGTATGCCGACTGTTGGAACATGCCATACCGATAATTAGCAAGTGGTGCCGACTACTGGCAAAAAAGCATTGTTTTAATAAAACTACAAATTTATGAAATTTAATAAAAAGTTATTAAAACTTTATTTATTATTGCAAAAACTATACAAAATTTCGAATCTGAATAAATTAACTTCGTAATAATTGAAAAGTTCCACTCATAATGGTGACCTATTAAAAACGCGAAAATCCTAAAAGTGCCGACTACTGGTACACTTACCCTATACGGTTATGCTGATTCATGTAGAACGCCAAGGTAATTTTTGTCACTCCTTGTGTTCCATGGATTTTGAATTTAATAGAAAGATAAAGTAAGATAACTCTTTGAGTAAATGAATGATATGTAAAACACACTCCGTATTATACTGTCGAATATATATGCCGAATATACTGTCAATATTTCTGGGAGTGATAAATAAGAACAACATTATGTCGAATATACGGTATACCTAAACATACTTTTCAAATCTATAAAAAAAATGATGCGGTATTTTTTTATTTTTATTTGAACTCGCCCATTGTGGGTATTAATTTGGGGTGGTGGAGAAAATCAATGTAGTATGATTTTGGTTTTAAACATTGCAATTAGGGTTTGTAGAGGTACAAATGTTGGAGAAACGTTAGCAGAACCGCATCCAACATTCCACCAGCACATAAGTATATTGGATCATAGCAAGATCGTTAGGTTCACATACAATCAACATATATGTTATCATTTATTTCGAATGTACATATATGTAAGAGTGAGAGTGAGAGAGATGTTCGACTTAATCCAGCGTTACATGTACACCAATAAAATGTATTTACATAACTGCAAATTGCCTTTGGCAGCAGATCGTATGCCACTGTGTAGAAACATAGCAAAGTTGTATAATATGTATGTTTTCGGTATGTATGAATGTATTATTTGGATGGTGTTTGTAATTATTCAATAATGTCCTTGAAACTTACCTCTGACTCGGACTTTTACTATCAGAGGAATGAGCGTTACTGTTCTGGTCATCGTCCCGTCGCTTTGATCGGCGTTTATTATCGACACGAACATGATCATGTCCCGAACTGCTGGTGCCAGTGGGACTAATCACATCCGAGTCACTGTTATTACAATCCGCTTGATTCATTGTTTGAGGAAATGTAATCGGAACTTCGCTAGTTTCAATCTAAATGGACAAATGGAATGAACTATTAAACGGCTACAGGATAACACTGAGGTTTCGATACTAATATGCTAATCTCAACTTACCGCATATAAACCGGCCGATGAAGCTGTCGACGATGAGGCCGCTGCCCCGGTACTGCCGTAGTTCAGTTGTGAGTGATAACCGCTCGACAATATTTTCTTGTGAGCCGATGCGTGTGCGCGGTACGCACTTACGCTTAGTTTCATTGTGGAGTACACATATAAAGCAAAAACACAGACTTAGCGCCCGACTGCGGTCGAATATGACACACGACCACATTTACTACGCTTCGCTTTTCATGATCTGATGAACTTTGACCTGTTGTATTCTTACCTCTAGCAGTTGTGAGGAAATCCTTTCCCCCGCTATGAGAGTAGATATATGATTGAAGTGGACGTTGGCAATGCATTAACATCAAATTTTATCGCTGCATAAGAGGGTGGCTGAATTCGTTGTCCCCATGCGGCTACATACCACCAGGCTCTTACAAATATTGGAACAATGCATCAGTGGTTAAGGCCCCTACGTCTAAAAAGGAAGGGACGTGTTAGACGATACTTTTTGTAAATAATTTTCAATTTGTATTAGAATAGTTGAAGTGGGTCTTTTTAAAATAAAAAAATTAATAAAATAAAAAATAAACTTTATGTTCTTTAAAACCAAAGAAGCCCTTCTTACTAAACTCATACGACAAGTAATTAAAAATAATAATTGCAATATTGTTTTATATTATATAGGGTTTACATTTTTTTTACTTTAAAATCGTTCCCGTACGCGAAAATCTAGCAAAGCTTACAGGCTAAAGTACTTTTTACCAGGCGAATTTGGCCGAGTTAAAAACAGTAGTCTGGTTGCCAGCTTCTGATTGCCTGAAATATTGATTTTGAAGGATTGACATTAATTTTTACATTTTTACTAGTTTTCTGTTTTCGTACTTTCAGGAAAAGCTGTTCTCGTGATTGTGATTCTCATTTAGTTGAGAATTCTCGATATTTAACGAGCTTGCTTAACCCAAAAGTCGTCATATCCAAAAGTAGCTATATGAAATCATGATATTGGTGGCGATCAATTGCAAAGCTGTCAGTTTTATTTTGAGAATGTTTCTCTTTAATAAAGAGTAATATTAAGTTTAGGCAATCCAGACTTAGGCAATCAATCTATATATGTGTTAGTTACTACGCTTATAACTTAAGAACCGCTGGACTAATTTTAACGATTCATACAAATTCGGAATTGTCTCCTCTCCGAAAAGGATAATATGCAAAAAAATCGCGTAAAAATGTGTTATATTAACATTTTCATTTTGACTTTTGAAATGTACAATAGTAATGTTTTATTTTGCATAATTTTTTTCCATTTTGACTTACTTTTTTCTAATGTACATTTGTAGTGTTTTTTTATTTTTATTTATTTTTTTTTTTTTGAATTCAAATATTAATACCAATTTATTTAATTGACTTGATTTCTTGAGAAATGAAATTGATGGCGAGTTACATGGAAGTGTAGTACCGAATTATGTGGTGGCGAAACGGAATAGATGATGTCGAAATAATTTAATGGAATCGAATTTTAAAATAGAAGTACATTCTATTGACAAACTATATAAGGATCTTTAAACATTTTCTGTAAATAATCAGCGAACAAGTTGAAGATTTTTTCAATGTGTTATTCTTCTTTTGTCACTTTTTTTTTCAATTTGTATTATCTAATTGAATTCAGTAAATTTTTTGTGAACAAAATAAAGAATAATTTTTCACTATATACAAATTTTCACCCAAAAATTAAATAAGTGGGAAATACGATGTTAACTGACATCTACCTTTCAACTCCAGGGCCGACATCGTGGTTCAGCTGGAAGATGCGAACACATTTGAACAAACGAAAATTACCGAAAAACCCTAATGGGGCTCATTTCAAAGCGTGGAACTACTTCTTTCCTGTCACAATAATCCGTCCAATGTACAATCAGAAAAATACCAAATATAAAGGGTGGAAAATAGTAGAGCGAATGGGACTCTTAGTAAGAAAAGAATTTCTATCCTTGCAGAAATTCTTCCCAAACATTCGAGATACCTTTAATCGCTTTTGCAGGTCATGATATCGATCATAACTCACGGATAAGGGTACAACCCGATTCCATATTTATATAACCATCGTATGATTTAAGTTTTTTTGGTGTCTTGGTCACTTTTTTAATATTTTGGACATTATTTGGCATATTTGTTTCTAAGGAGGTAGAAAACCTCTTCGCATAAAGTTTGAAATTTTCAGAGTAGGGCCCATTTTGGTCTTGACCATATTCATTAATTGATTTGGCTAAAAATTGTATTTATGCTACCCTGGGGTAGGGAACCATCATACAGATAATTGCCACACAGGAATTTATTTAAATAAAGTCCCCACAATAGAGTATCTCCAAGTTCACTTTCACATCTAATTGGTGGCCAGAAAAGAAATTTTTGTTTTCTATTGAATTTGTAACCCCCAAGAGAATATTGGTTGGGCCACGTTTTGGTATAACCCTTATATAAATGTATCCCTGATTTCAGCTGTGACCGTGGTCTTGGCCACGTTTTTCAACTGATTTGGCCATTATTTGCTGTATTTAGGCTACTTTGTGAGTAGAGAACCGTCTTACAGAAAAATGTCAACATACGTAAATATTTTGGTACAGTCCCCATATAGTCCCCAGGCCCGCCGATCTATAGTGATGTTTACCGATTGGCGGACAACAACGCGGGTATTGTTTAATCGTCATTGAATTTTACTATGAACAAGAACATAGACTTTTTGGGGACTCTAATGCGCAATTTGAGGTGCTATGGTAATGGGTGTAAAAGCGTAATTAACTTTGACTATTCAGAAATTATTTTGCCCTCCTTCCATAGTTATTTATTTCTATTTAGTCGAATCAATATTTATATTAAAATTTGTTCACCTTTATGAGCTAGATTTGTGAAATATTATGCTATGCTAAATTTGCATTAAAGACTAAAACTACGGGCCGGCAACGCGGACAAATCCGATGAGAAATGTGACAAAAATCGTCAAAATAACGAATTTCGAGAGGTACCGTTATATGGGTACTATACCAAAACGTGGACCATTTTCAATACCAACCATCCTATACACAGTACAAATTGTTCTGCTAAATTTTGAAGCTCTACGTCAAATAATATGGGCTGTATCGTAATTTAAATAAACAGACATACAGACGGAGTCTATGACGAACATTTAGGGATGTTACAAACGGAATGAAAAAGTTAATATACCCTCCTTTCCAAGGTGGGGGATATAATAAGCATTAAAGACTAAAATTACGGGCCGGCAACGCGGACCGGGCCAGCTAGTATTTAAATAAAACTAACTGAACCGGCCCGCATTCCTGGTCCATAGCTTTGGTGTTTAACGCATACAAATCTTCCTGATATAAATTGTAATCTTATAGCTTTTCACTTTGAAAAAGCATTACCTTCGACTATAGGCGTGTCAGGTTACCCTAAAATTTGTAACAATTGCTGTCGGCTGTTAACAGAAAAGCTCTGTAAAAGAGAGCCGTTCGAGAGAGAAATAGCTGAGAGCTTGCAAATTCATGCTGGACAAATTTCTTCTTTCAAACGCTTGCAACTCTTCTTCTTCTCCTTCCGGTGATGCACATTTGGCCAAGAAATTTTAAAACATTTTTTATTTTGAAAAAACGCAAGACCAATTCTTTTTTTATTAATTTTTAAAAGATAATAGTCGCTAACCCAAAAAGATTCCATATTACTTTGTATGTGTACACACACCTACAGCTAATATTTTCTAGTAAAATTAATTAGCTTCACATAATCCATCCACAGGATTTGAAATCAAATAAAAAAATATATATCAGCGGTTTGTGTATTATAAAGTCTTTACGGCATCGTCCATTTACATGAGCTGTAATTTTGAATTCGTAGCGTTTAAAAGATAATGCTCGCCACCATAGGATATTGTATACTATTTTGTCGACTTGTAAATTATCCTTCGATGATTAATATCCAAGAAGGCACTTCGATCCTTGTTAAGGTCTTTACCTGACCTAATTCCACCAGCTGGCATCCGTCATTTTGCAGGTTTCTGCAACAAGTTACTCAGCTTAGGGTTAGAGGGAACGTCATCAATATATCGTATAGTAATCTTTTAACCGATATCTTCATTATTTTTTTGCAAATATAAATATTTTGGATAAATTCAAAAAGTGGGCGTGGTCCATTTTTCTGTCCATAAAAATCTAAGTAGAAGTATGGCGAAGGTGTTAAAAAATTCTCCAAATCGGTCCGGCCCTTCTCAACATTTTGATTTTTATACCCTCCACCTTATTATAGAGGGTATAATAACTTTGTCATTCCGTTTGTGGTTTGTGACTCCTCATTCAGATCGGCGTAGGAGTTTTCGAGTGCGGATGTATCTGGATTCGTTGGATTTGCTGGATGCCATAAAGAAAACTCCACCAGCCGAACAAAACTTAGCTGAAACATTTTCTAAAAAGGACAAAAGGGCTAAGACAACAATCATCAGCCTAATAGCAAATGATTATTTAGAATAATTTCGCGACAAGAAAGCAGCGAAGGAGATGTGGTCTGCTCTGCAAAATATATTTGCTAAGAAGTCGGTTACGAGTCAGACATTGTTAAGAAAACATTTAGCGGTTCTGCGAGCCTTGTGATGATTTGTGAAAACCTTTACTATTGTTTGATGAGCTTTTACGAAAATTAAAAACGTCTGGAACAAACGTGGATGAAAGAGATGCCGTTGCTCAACTTTTTGTCACGCTACAAGATTTTGACCCGGTAGTGGCCGCGTTGGAAAATATGAATGAAGAAAACTTATCGAAATAGTTAAGCGGAGGCTATTGGCAGATTATGCGAAGAGGCATGATCGTTGTGGCATTGATACTTCCACGACATCTGCATTTAGTAGTGTGAATAAGTCGAAAAATTTCCTTGGTGCCGAATTACCACGTTCGTTTGGTTCGAAGTCAATTTTTTTCATGACAGCGATCCCTGATTCTAAGATAATTAAAGATAAGTCTGAAGATTTAGTACTCAAAATAGATTCTAATGTGTAAACAAGATTGGTGTTTCAGAAATCTACAAAATTTTAATGAACCCATTAACGTAAATGTTAAAGACACTAAAAATCATACAGCTTACAAGAAATGTGTAAGCAAAGGGTAATGGAAAGATACACCAATCACAATGTAAGATGTCCTATATGTTAATGCGAAGTTCGACCATTACTTAAGACATATCTACATAATTCCCCACACAAAATTTGCTGTGCGAACAAAGATTTTTGTTCTTTGTTCAATTCAAATCACTCTCAGAACTAAGATGAAATGTGTGTCATCCCTAACAAATGAGAGCATTTATCGAAAAAATAAATTATGACACTTAAAAATTCAAAATAGAAAAATTTAATAAAATTTAAAAAATTTTTGAGAGGACTGAAAATTATGAATGAAAACTACAATGACGATTGGCGTATGTGCATTCAAACGAAAG